ATGCATTTTAACTGCATAAAGCATCCCCATGTTCTTGTCCAGTGATATTCAATCTGAATTTAGTGCTTGACTTTTGGAAACAATGCAGAAGTATAAAGACTGGCTTGATTTCCTGCCTGAGGTGCAGTGAAGCATGTGCAAACAGCACAAGACCTCTGATAGAAGCATCAGTTAGTTTTAACCGTGGCCTTAGTTCCTAATTGGAATGAGTTTGTGTGTGAAAATGAAGCCATTTACCTAAAAAATCCTGACATTGTTAGTTGTGTGGCTGGCTGAAATATCAGTCAACAGAGTTGGTAAGTCTACTGCAGTATTTGCCCAAAAGTCTTTATGTTTTTTGTTGAGTTGAATACCTTCACTGTTTGGATTCATGGCCTGTGTCCCTTGCTGAGTCCAGCTGAGTAGGCATGCCCAGACCAGTGATACTTAGCTCGCCTATCTTGGCCATTTTCTTTCAGTTTGGGGCTGGAGGAAGAGACTTTGTCTGGTTGTAGATTTGAGAACACAGAAGCAAGGAAAGCTTAGTTCCAGCCTGTTGTTGTTCTATAAGGATCTGGAAAGCAACTGCACCACATGCTAAGGGAGGTAGAGGACTGTGCATAACCAAGTTTGAAAGCAAAGAGTAAACCTGAGGGCTTACCAGGTAGGATGAATGGTCCACCTGGCTTAGGATTGTGCTTCTAGTGTAGCAAGCTGGAAAGAGTAGAAAGCAGCACAGTCAAAGTGACATTGCTTCCAGCCTGCAGTGATTTGCAGCTTATATTCGCTCTGGGTGGGATGTGCTAATTCTCAGTAGATATTGCAAGACCCTCCTGTCCCTACACTGAGCCTAAAAACTGCAGTTCTTTGAGGAAAACCTTCTTCAGGAATATAAATATTTGCATCATGCAGAGCAGGAGCAGTAGGTTCAACAAGCTCACAATGATGGAATTTACTCTCTGGAGAAGACAGGACATGAGCAAAATGTCTTGCATATAATATCTCAAGTTGGAAGAGACCCATAAGGATGATCAGGTCCAACTTGCATGTTGAGAATATATCAGTTTTTCACATAGAACTCCTTCTTCACATACTTGGGCTGATTGTGCAGCATGAATTCAGTGAGAATAACAAATCCAAAAGAAGTGGAAAAAGTCTGTTCTCAAGAAATACATGTATTTGGGGACATTTTGAAATTCTGAGTGGCTGTTCATTCTATTCATGTAGTGGAATATTATGAGATCAGGTGTTAGATTCTGTTAAAGAGCTACACAGTCCATAATATATTATCAGGTTCAGTTTGCATTTCTGTAGCCAAAACATACTGATAGCAGTTTTGTAATTGGATAACAGAATATGGAAGGCAGAGATGAAAGTTCTTTAAAATGTGGCAAAAATAAAACCAGACAATGTTTTGAAATTAACAAATCAGAAATTGAGGTTCAGCTTGAAAAAGACAAAATAGTCTGACAAAAAGAGCTATGGCACTCGCAGAGCAAGGTCACTGGTCTTTTAGTGCTAAATCACTGAAGAAGTGGCAAGGTACAACTTGCAGCTCAAATTACAAGACTACTGAGAATTGTAGGAAAGTCATTACTTACAAGGTCATTTTGCAAATTTAAAGCACAAAATGTAGTAACAAACCAAAGCAAAGTATGGAGTATTGTAAGCAGTGGGGAAAAAGCAATTGTGAACCTCTCATTGGTATCCGGAGGGTCACTTTGGCAGGTCATAGATTTTATTGAATAATTTTGAAGACTGCACTAGAGGCTAGTAAATTACACTGTTGGGAAGAAAGAAGGCAGTAATTTTGGTCTCAATAAAAATGTGCACAGCTAGTCAATTAATAACTCATCCATATGCTGTAAGATCACTGAGAAAGAGTATAGTGGTGTGATCTTTGTGATAACCTGTAACCTCAGGAACAGTTAATTGGTCAGGATGCTGCAGAGCAGAGTGTTCTGAAAGCTGCAGGTGCTCAGGCTGGCAAGAAATTGCTATCAAGGGAGCTTCAAGTTAGTGCTGTCAGGTTTTCTAGATGTCAGATATTCCCATTTGGTCAGATGAAGGGGACACTTGTTGAGTGTGTTGGTAGAATCAAAGTGAGGAACTGGAAGTTTGGGGACATCCTGTGTTCTAATGGTCCATCAGCTTCTTGGTAAACATGCTGTGATGATGAAGCCAAAGCCCAGAAATCCATTCCATGGCAGCCCCCAATAAACTGAGAGGCCAGGCTACTGAGTCTTGTGTTCTGTACGAGTTCATGCCACTGATCTGCACAGAAGCTGGGCATCTTTGGGCTTGTGGAGCCTGACATCATTGATATTCTGCTACATAGGCTGAAGCATCTGAAGTCTAGACATTTGCCTTCTCGTTGGGTTGCCTAGGAGCCCAGCTGGTAAACAGGGAGGGAAACAGGCACGTTGTAAAACCTCTCTGCTGTAATGCTGCCTGGCTTCATCAAAATCAAATAATGTCTCTCAGGTATTTCAATCTCAAATTGACAGTCTGATAGAGAACTATCCTGCCTGGGAATTTTGAACTGGCTCTACACACATGAACCTGTTTTCAAAACACTCATAACCTTAGCATAAATATAAATATTTCATGATAGAGTACAAGGAACATATCTCCCATTTATAAGTGGATGCAAATTTCCTTTCCTGCCTACACATCCTGGAGTATTCTTGTTTAGAGCTTTCGAGGCCATAACTGATCTGTGGTGTGGATTTGAGGAATTAACAGTACTTTTCTAGATTTAAACTCTGACATATATTTGGGTATATATGATATGGGCTGATAGGAAGGTGCTTTTGAGGACAGAAAGGAGTTCTGTCATAGATAGTTACATGTCAGTAAGTATTATACTGTCCTTTTCTTTCCTGGTATATTGTATGTCCTATATTACTTAGCTCACTATGAACATGTCTCAGAATATGTGCTCAATTTCAAATTGTTTAAATAGTTTTGTGTAGCAAATACTAGTGGTGCTAGAGTGAAGAAGAACATAAGCCTGAAACCACTATATATTTTATTTCTGTTTTTTACAGAGGGAGATTTAGAATAAACAGTCCCAGCACATGATGTCTTTAGTTGTTTTTTTAATTGGTTATTTGAAAATCTTCCTTGCTTATTTCATGCTGCAGTTTCTGTGATCATTAGATTTTATTAACTGATACAGATTTCTTTACTGTGTTATGAAACAGTTGTGCATATGCTGGGATTTTTGGAGGAAAAAACCATCAGTCTCCATCTTGGAAAAAGCAATGATTATCTACTTCATCAAAGTCAACATAAAAATTTTATTTCAGTGATAAAAGAGGGCACAGAAGAATGCTAAATGTTCTGAACAGCAACTGCCTACCCTAAATCTGCTGGGACCTAGATTTGAAAGGGCTTTAAGTCTTGTATGTGGAAGTTCTGGGTTTCCTCTGACTTAAAATGGTTTTGTCTCTAAAATCTAGTCAGAGCCTGATTGTATGAACTCACTATGTAGTTAATGACAGGAAATCCTAACCCAAAGGTAAAGGGTTTATAAATAGTTGTTATTTACCTGTTCAGTCTGAAACCCAAGCTTCAGAAAAGCTGTGGAAAATAATCATTTTAAGTTACTAAAATTGTTACAAGTGACTATAACCTCTGACATTTGGCATGCCATGAAATCCAGCAGCCTTTATTATGTTGAATGCCAACTGGAAGACCAGTTGGATTTGATGATGTTAAAGGTCCATTCCAAGCTAAATTATTCTATCGTATCCAATAAAGTTAGAGGATCAGCTGAACTAACAGCTGTGTAGACAGACACTGGAATCAGTAATCAAATTTCTTGATTTTTTTTCCTGGATGGGAGGGAGGAATAAATGAGATTTCTTCCACTTCCCAGTTGATCTGTTACTGATACCCAGCACCAAACAAGATTACATGGCACTATCCATAGAGTGAGCCCAGTAGGACAGAACAGACAACACGCAGTTCAGCTCTGTCATTCATCTCCTGCATTGATCCTTGTGAGGATACTGAGGGAAATGATGAGGCGTCCAGTCCTTCTCCTGGCCTCTGCTGACAATATCACAAAGAGATCATTGTGTCTAATGGACACTCTCTGCATTCCTGTGTCTTGCTGATTTTCTGGCTGCTCTTGGGTATTTGACTGTATTTCTGCTTGAAGTAAAACCTAAAAAGAATAGAATCCTAAAATAATCTGAAGAGAATTGCTGCCTAAAGGCCACTTTAATGTGTTAAATTCTGCACATGGTGTTCACATTGAATATAATTTGCATGTAGTTGACTTAAAAATCCACTTCTGCACTTGAGAGCACATGGTATTTTGAAATGGCTGCTCCAGATCTCAGATTGACTCTCACATCTGTTCATGCCCAAATTCTAGTTTGGCTATTAGGTATGACATATAATAAGACAAGGCAGAATGGCTTTAGACTCACAGAGGGCAGGTTTAGATTCGATATTAGGAAGAAATTCTTTACTGTGAGGGTGGCAAGGCACTGGAACAGGTTGCCCAGGAAGGTCGTGGCTGCCCTGTCCCTGGAAGCATTCAGAGCCAAGCTGGATGGGGCTCTGAGCAACCTGGACTAATTAAATGTGTCCATGCCTGTGGCAGGGGGTTTGGAACTAGATGATCTCTAAGGTCCCTTCCAACCCAAACCATTCTATGATTACTCTTTCTCTGAAAACCCAATCTGTCTTTTTTTTTAAAAATTAAAATTCATTGTATGAGTGAATTCTCCTACAGCCTCTGAAAACCCAATCTGTCTTTTTTTTTTAAAATTAAAATTCATTGTATGATCAGGTGTCACTGGGAGAGTTGCAGAGGGACCACCAAAATGTGTTACAGAAGAAAGTAAAAGCAGTCTGTGATAGCTTTTGGAGAGTTTCTATTGTCTTGTCTCCAACACTGACAACTTGACTATGTGCATCTCAAGACTGATTTAGGAGATGCTGTTGTTTTTGACATGTACAAATGAATGAAGTGTTGCTTAAGTATTTCTTTCTTTCTCTTTCAGTTATTGTAATGGCTGTATGTTAGATCCAGACTGTGGTCTCTGCTACAAATTGAATAAATCAAGTGTTGTTGAGTCCTCATGCATTCCTGTTGATAAAGATTCCACAATGAAAGCTGCTTGGGGCAGGTATGTCACTTTAAATGATTTTTTGATCCTGTGCTCTACAGAGAATGTTTTTGGTGCTGCTGAGAACAATTTTGGTTTTGCATAAAATGTTACTCTTAGGATGTTCTGGAAGAAAAAAGTAACTTGGCATTATCAAAAATGGGTGATTACTTTCTAACAACCATTCTAAATAAAAGCCTTGACCCTGATGTGTGCAACCAGCTCAGTGTGATCTGCCACTTACAAAGTATGGCAGAAGTACACTAGCAATTAGGAAAATTACCTTTCCTTAATGTTTTTATTCATGTGAGGTGGCATATTCCCTGGTTATGTTCTTAAAGCCCTCTGAATTAATTTTCTTTTTATATGCTTTAATTAAACCATACTTTTAATATTGGCCTATTAAAGAAACCAATTAGCTCAGCTGAATAAACTAAAATGATCAAAATATGAAAAGTTCAGGTTGTCAAAACCATGGGTTTTGGCCACAGATTTGTGTTCCTGTGCTTCAAAGCCTTGTGTTGCACTTGGGGTGTAAGAATGTGTGCATTTGTAGGTAAGTCCCAATGCAACTGCAAAATACATCACACCTCTTTTTCTTAAGCAGCACAAAGATTTCTCTGTGAAGTCACAGCAATCTAAGAGTTTTCTGAAGTGCTGACTGTTCTTAAGGAATGGCTTTGTGAGTTGGAACATTGTCTTGTAAAGGCTTTATGAATACTTTAATAATGATTAGGGCTTGGATTAGAGTTTAGAATGGTTCAGTGCCCCAAGGGAATTATGTAATTACTTCTGCTAAAACCTCCTTGCCATAATTCATCTCAGCCACCCACACACCGTGAACGTACTTGGGAAATAGGCAAAGGTTCGTCTGGTGGTTTGAGCTTTTCAAAAATTTTTTACATTTTCTTATGTATTTCTCAGAAGTCAAAATCAAGTGCCTTAGTGGCAGTGAGTCATGTTGGACAGAGGTTGAAAGGTATGAAAATATCTACTAATTGTACAGTCATTAATTTGAAATTACTTTAAAATTGCCTTCCTTTTGGTTTCAGTACCATTAGAATCCTATGCCTAGTAATTCATTCCAGGTGCAGAAAAAAGAAGCTTGTATTTTTTGTAATCCTAATTTAAAAGCACTGTGATTGTTTTGGCGTTATTACAGTTAATGAATAACTGTGAAAACTGCAAAATCTCATCTGATTTGCTTGTTCTGTGACTACCTTCAATGGTACATTATGCAACATACCTTGCATATTGCCTGATATCCTGATGTGCTCTGCAGCACTTGGACTCTGTATTTGCAAGGTAACAGATGTCTCTGTATTCCAAGTCAACATTCATTTCCTATATGCTGTAGTTGGAAGTAATGTGTCTGTAATTAGCAGAATCATAGTAGCACGCAGTAAGACATCCATAGAAACAAAAACTTGTTAGGCTAGGTAAAATCAAACTTTATTTAATGAGGAGGTGTTACTGTACAGTGTAGCAAATGTGGGCATCAGCGATCCTTTCATAGTCGTGATTCACTCTCACATAGCACTCCTTGCTGTACAGCCTATTGAAGCAAATTAGGTAGGAAAGGGGAAATATTTCCAATTGCAAAATGCAGCATTTCCATGTTGTGCAGGAATTCCATAGCATGAGGACCCTGCTTAAAATCTTTCAAGAGAAAACGAAACAATGTAAAATTTGTTATATTGGTAGTCTCTGGAGTGAAAGTCCTGCCTTAAAATGGAAAAGTGATAAAATACCCACATTTCTTTTTCCAAAGGTTCATCCGCATTTTGAGTGTTTGTTTCATTAATTTTTAATCTCCCCTCCACCTGTGTAATTAGGCAGTTCTCAAAAAGCTGATCTTTCAAGCTCTAAAGTGTCAGGTGGCACCTTCTGTGCCTTCCAAGCCCTGTGGAAGAGGGAAGTGTTTTGCCTCCCTCTCCTCACAGATACAGGTATTTCTGCTCACTGGTCCAGAGGGAATCCCCATAGATTTTGGTTTCCAAAGGTTCACATTCACATCCTGCCCCTCAGCACTGTTTCCTCAAATCCTGAGTCTGCTTTACAGAAAAATCAGTCCCACAAAGCCGTAGGTTTTTGCTGCCAAGTGAGAGGATTGCCACAGGGAAAATGGCATCGCTGCATCCCCAGTTGTGTCTCAGAGCAGCTGGAGCTGGTGCTGTCTGTCTCTCTTTGGCAGCACAGGGAGAAAAAGTGCCTGAGACAAACTAACAGCACTGGTGAAGGAAATCGCAGCCTTTCCTTTCACAGAGTGACTTTGTCACAAACTAGGCATAGAGGGACAGTTATTTTAAAAATACATGGCAGTTTTACAATGAGAAAGTGGCTTAATTATTTGAAAGATTATTTTGTGGCCTATGGACAGCTGATACCCATAATTATCATGTGTGGCCTCTTTGTAACTCTCGTGCATTCTGCTGGCTTCATGCCATCCAGTATTAGATGGATGAATTTCAATGGCTTAAAACCTCCAGTGCTACACTGGCCTCATATGCCAAATCTATTTTGCCATTAATTTTGCTTAGGAGAGAAGGAAGACCTGAGCTATTTGTTTGGGATTTGTTGGACCTCGGATGTCTGAGCATTAGCAGAAGCAGCAGCTCTCACTATGCTGCCTGATGCAGGAGTTCAGAGAAACAGCTGCTCCTGGTCTAAGGCTGATGGTGCCATGCAGAGAATTTCATTGCTGCTGTGATCACATTTTGTTTATGATTTTCCTGCGGGAAAGCTGGGAGCTGCAGCCATGGAGAGGTGGCTATGGTCACACAGTGTGACGTGTGTGAAGCCATATAGCTCTGCAGCTGTCTGAACCCCAACTGTCCTGACATTCACTCAGGGGCTTACCTTCCTGATATCTAACCTGCCAGCAAGGCAAGAGGTGCTCAGAGGCACCAGCAGAGAAGGTCTTGTCATATGGTTTTTAGAGCTCTCTGCAGCCATTCAAGCTGACGTAGAAACTCCTGTTTGTATGTTTATGACTTTGCACTGTTTTTCACAGTTGGTCCCAAGGTGCTTCGATAGCACTGATGTAGCAGGCAATGTTTTGACTGTTATCATAAAATATTGTAATGCATTTTTATCTGCAAGGCATTTCCCCAGTGCCAACCAGGTGTACTAGACTCTGTTTATTGTTGATTGCATTTATTTGGTTACGGTATGTTCTACATTGAGAACTTCTGGGGAAGGGAGGGAAGAGAGTGGAGATTTCAGTCTACTGTGGCCTCCAGCAAGGCGGTTTATGTTGCTGTGGTTGTCATAGAAACCCGGGGAGACAATTAAAGCATCCACATATTTTTCAGGAAGAATATAGTGTTTTGATTCTTTTGAATATGGGGAGCTCAGTGGCTGGTAGTGTTCCTGAGGGAGGGAGAGTGCGTAAGAGTAAATCCAGCCAAGTCCAAGTCAGACCTTAAAGCAGCATGAGTAATGTGCTCAGGTGCACGTGTAAAGTCATACATGTAAGACAAGCAATAGAGATTTATTATTTAGTCAGTTACATAAGCCTGACTGGTACTGGAATAACAGAGAGGAACATCTTGCCCAGGGCAGCAGCACAGGCAGGTACTTTACTGCCCTTGGTATTACTGAGCCAGTTAACAGCTGTTGACATTACAAACCTTGCTGCCTCCAGCTCTGCCCAGGGACACATAAAGGATGGTTTCAAGACTGTGAGCAAGAATATTCTTAAATTATTGACTCTGTAGTAAAACAAGATGAGCTGTGTCTTCTCTCCATGTGGTCTGAGGGTTCTGTGTTGGGACTCTGTTCTCCAAGATTTAGAGAAGTTTTGCATTTAAAAGTAGCACAAAAACACTTGCAGTTTTGTTCTCTTCATGAGCGTTAAATTATAAAATCCTCTCAAACTTGATAGAAAGCATTATCTCACTTTTACAGACAGGATGCAATGGGAAGGTTTCAGTATGAAGCTCAGGTGGCACAACAGTGGTCCATCTCTCAGCCAGGGCCAAATGTGGATGTGATTGTTATCAGTCCTATGCTTTGAGAGCACAAACCAAAATCTAGTTTTTCCCCACAATTACAATTCCTCCCACAGTACTGTCAGAAACCTCGAAACTTCTGTCCTTGTAATTGCAATAACCCTAAAGGTCAGCCAAGAATGCTCTAAAAGAAACTGTAAATTGCATTAATATCCTTACTGTTGAAGGAATAACCACACAGGGAAAGGAGGTACAAACAGTGCCTTAACATGTTATTAACCTTGGCATGAGTATACTGTCAAGACAACAGCAGGCCCACAACTGTGAGCTAAAAGGCTCTCGTGAGTGACTCTGTGCAGTCTTCCTCTGGAGAGAATGATGTTGATTTTATACAGTAAACAATTATGAAGAAATAATAACATCATCTGCAGATCAGAGACAAGCCTAGAAGCCATCCTGTTCACAGAATTAGCTGGCAGGTCTCCACAGTCCCCAAAGGAGGACAATTGGGAACAGAAATCTATAAAGAGGGAGGAGCTAAGTGATCTGCTCTCTTCAACCCCTTTTATTAACTTTGTTAGAGGAACATCTCCCTGCCACGGGAGTTTAATGCTTCATGGAGAATCCTGTTTTGGTCAGTGCCCCTTCTGTAAGGGCAGTCAGTGCAAAGGGGAGAGTGCAAGTGGAGCTCTGTGTTTGGGAAGCTCTTCGCTTTCCTCTGGCCTGCCCTCTTCCAAGCTCCTTGCTTCCTTGTAGAATTAATGGCATGTTTATAGATTCTCAGTAAGGCTGTTATGTGTCACTGTGTGCCTGTTGCTCATATCCCTCAGTTTGCCGATGAGTTTAACTGTATCTCAGGAATCTGTTTTGGGGAAAAGTGGTTTTCCATTGCCTGGGCAATAAGAGAAAGCAAGTCAGGCAGGCAGCCAAACCCTGTTTCCCAGCTTCAGAAAAGTTTCCACCTCAGGAATGTGCCTAATGACCTTGGCATTTGAGCCTGGTTGCTAACTAGATTCCACTGGTTAAAAGAAAATAAATTCATGGGAGTTCACCAGACAACAGGCTGGT